GCTTTTGTACATTTCGAAGGAAGAATGCGGAACTCCGCGTGCAGCCCAGGGCCAGCGGGAAGTCCAGCTGACTCCGGACTGCACGTGGGTGGCCAGCTTCGAAAGGTACAACAGTACCCAGCGGGGCTCTTGTGCATTTCAAAGTAGAAGCACCCACTTGGAGCCCAGAGTCAGCAGGACTTCTCACTGGCCCTGGACTGCACACAGCATGCCAGTTTTGAAATGTACAGGAGTCCCCAGTGGGGTCTCTTTTCAAAGTGGAAGCACCCTCATGGAACCTGGGATCAGCGGGGGACTCAGATTCCCCCCGCTGAACTCGGGCTCCATGCTGCACTGCTACTTTGAAATGCCACACTGAGCCCGGGGTCAACTGGGGAGTCCCTAGCTGATCCCGGGCTCCTATTGGCATTCTCAACTGGGGACTCCCCATCTGACTCCGGGTTCTGCCAAAATGTCGCAGGGAGCCCAGGGTCAGCTCAGCTAGGGAGTCCCCAGCTGACCACAGGCTCTTTGCGGCGCTGATGCTTTGAAGTGCTGCGGCAGTATTTCAAAGGGGCAGCACCTGCACAGCTGATGCCGGGCTCTGTGCAGTACTGCCCCTTTAGAACATCGCTGTGGCAGCAAGGGGACGGGGAATCGACTAGTTGACTCGACTGTCTGATAAGCATTTACTTATTGGATAGTCGACTAATCCTTAACATCCTCAATCTGGACACAATACTCCAATTGAGACCTAATTATATTTAGTTTGTCAGACACGGCCTACTGTGTAGAAATGTAAACTAGTATTGACCTGTTGCTTTAAGTTCTTTGTGGACCTCAAGTTAGTGTTCTTAATGAGTGTTTCCTGCGGTTACTTCAAGGTTAGTAAGGGACTCTACAGGTACAACAATCTCAAAGGCTACAAATTGCTTCTGTTCTCCCCATCTAGGGTTCCATCATCAACCACTGGGAATATTGGCTACTAGCAATTGCAGATTGGCTTCAGTGGCATGTGGCCTCTTCCATCATACCATCCCCTCCAGAAACTTATCAAACTCAGTCTTAAAACAAGCTAGGTTTTTTTCCTCACTGCTCCCCTTGAAAGGCTCTTCCAGAACGTTCCTCTGATGGTTAGAAACCTTCACCTAACTGCAAGTCTAAATTTGTTGATGGCTAATTTATATCCATTTGTTTTTGTGCCAACACTGGCACTAAATGAAAATAATTTCTCTGCCCTTGATATTTATCCTGCTGATGTATTTATAGATGTTAATCATATCTCCCCAAAGGCTTCTTTGGTTAAGATAAATAAGCCAATCTCCTCGAGTCACCTCTTGTAAAAGTAGGTTTTTCATTCTCCTGATCACCCTGGTAGCCCTTCTCTGCACCTGTTCAAGTTTTGAATTCACCTTTCTTAAACATGAGAGGTCAGAATTCTACAGTGTGTTGCAGAAGAAGTCTCACCAGTGCCTCGTATAATGGTATCAACACTTCCCTGTCCGCACTGGAAATACCTCGCCTGACGCATCCTAGAATTGCATTAACCTTTTTCAGCTCCGCATAATATTGGAAGGTTATAGCCAGATGAACAATCTGTGCAGGTCTTCCTCCTCTTCTATAACTTCCAACTGTTCTATCCCCAGCTTATAGCAAAAATTCTTGTTTTTTGTTCCTAAGTGCATTAACTCTGCACTATTACACTTCATCCCATTTCTATTACTTCAATTTTCAAGGTCATGAAGATCTTGTATGATATTTCAGTCCTCCTTTGTGTTGGCAATACCTGCCAACTTAGCGTCATCCAAAAATTTTACCATCGCGCTCCTATATTTTATGCCAAGGTGATGAATGAAAATGTTAAATAAGATTGTTCCTAATATCAGTCCTAGAGGAACTCCATTAGTAACCTTCCTCCAGCTTGACAATTTACCTTTCGGTATGGCCAATTGTAGTCTCTCCCCTTTAACCTATACTGTGTTCACCTTTTGATTCTCATATTAATCCCTGTCTTCTCCAATTTAGTTAATAAATTTACATGTGGAACAGTATCGAATGCCTTATTGAAATCCAGGTAGATTAGATTTACTGCATTGCCTTTGCCTAAAAAAACCAGTTACTCTGTTAGATGCTTTGCTCTCTTGCTTTTCCAGCACGGTATAAATATTGCAGCATCAGTACAGTGGTTGGTTTTGTTCTGTTTGCGTGCATAGATTAATAGATGGAAGGCATTTGAATATGATTTATTTATGTTTACTGAATGCTTACTGCAAAATTATAATGCCTGAGTCCTGTCGTTATTTGTACATTGGTATTAACAATATGTACTCTGGATACAAAAATCCTCTGTCTTTCTCTCCTGTGTAGGCTTCCTCTTATTAGTGTTGCATTAGTTCAAGGAAAAGCTCTGGGAGGTGGAGCAGAACTTACCACAGCATGTGATTTCAGGTAGGATTAAAATTGTGCTGAATAGACCCCGGACAAGTGACAGTGACTGACTGAATTGTTGTCTCTGTGGGACACATCGGGCTCATCTAGTCTATGCTAAAGTGTCGAAAGAGGATATGCATATCTTCTTACGATCTCACTTTCGAAAGCATTTTTCCTCAAAAAATGAGGTTTACGTGGCTTTTCGAAAAGGGGGGTTGTCGAAAAAATGCGTCCAGACTACTTTCACTTTCGAAAGCAGAGTTTAAGGTGGTATATTCCACTGCTGATCAGTCTTAAAACCCCATAGGGATATGGTTTTCCGCTAATATGCTAAAATCACCAGTTAGAATAAAAATCTGAGGAATTAATAAATCCATAAGGTCTGCCTATGAACTCCTAGAATGCACTGGGACACATCAGTGAATACAGGGGCACTTGTAATTTTGCCCACTGGCTGTGTAAGTATGCCATGTGTGGAAGAACGGTTTGGCTTTTCTAGTGTTAGAAAGTGGAGAGATGCTTTACATAGTAGTTCCTGACTGCACATGCTGATGGGGTGAGGAGAGAACAAAGCCACCAGTGAAGCCAGGCTAGGCACCCCACTTTGGGCAAACAAGGGAGCGCCTTTTCATTAACTTAATGGGATTAGATACCTGTGAACAAGATGCTACCTCCTATTAGGCAGGCTCTGGAACACATACATTAAACTAAATAGGTCTTCATTTTGGGGTAAAAAGAGCTCAGCCTTTAGTTCCTCTTCTGCCACATGACCCCTCTCACTTGCACTCTGGTTTAGGTCTCTCTGTTACTTAGTGAATACCCTGCAGTGACTTATTTACCTTCCACGTTACAGAAGGGTTAGTTCTACATTCCCTCCCTGATTTGTAAGGGTGATCAGTGCTGTGTTATGTACCACCTTATGTCTCCACTTAGCAGATGAATTTATGTACCCTGAATGACTTACAGGCCTGCCTGCTGAGAAATTCAGTTGCTGTAAGTAAAAATGAGTTGTCTAACTCCGTTTTGTTTTAATTGCTATGTGAGATATTACGCCCAGGGTTGTGTTTTAACCACCTCTTTCCTGGACTCTTCTCCTGGAAACTGCATATAGTGGTGATGTATTGGTACTGGAAGGATGTCAGCCATCTGGAATTCAGGGGATAGCAAATGAGGCTCTGTTCCTGCAAGCTTTGCAGGGGTCTGTCAGCATGAAGCAGCCTGCGGGAGTAGGGCTTCAATTATTAAGAGGCTGAAGGCAGAGTGGAGATTGAGACTAAAATAACTTTGTAATTATCATTAAGTTAAATGATATTTATCCAGGAATGTGAAAACCGACTACTGGCACAAGGGGAAAAGAGATAATGCAGCTAGTTCCCTTTGAAATCAGTGAGAATTATCCATGTGCAGCTCTAAAGGAAGAAAGACATACATGCTTAAAGGACAGTCCCGAGAGGTACTTATAAGCAAAGGTAATAGTATGAAAATGAGCAAAGGAAAATATATGCTGGATTTCAGAAAGCAACTCCTGGCAATCAGTTCTATGCAAATTTAGAAGAGACTCACAGAGGAAGAAGTGATGGAAGCCATTTCACTTAAGCCACTTGAAACTAAACTAAACTTTGTAAGTATCTATAAGGTTCTCAGAAAATGAGACCCCAGTCCTGAATATTTGGTGTAAATATAATTGACAGGAGCATACACTGAAGAGAGACCCAAGATAATTTTTTTTTTTGGTTATTTGTATCAATAGATCTATAGTTGTACCTGCTTTAAATGTCCCTAACCTTAATTTAGCACTCTGAACAATATGTAATATAAATAAGTCCCATCTGGTAGTACAGAATGCATCTTTGCCTTCCAAAAAACAATATTCTGTAGCCTTACTTGGGAAACTAGATTGAAGCAATCTCAGAACTATTAGCAATTATCTTTGAAAACTCGTGGAGGCTCAGTAAGATGTTAGAGGACTAGAAAAGGAAGACAAAGAGAAATTATAGACCAGTCAGATTAACTTTAATATCTGCAAAAAATACTGGAACTTATTAAATAATCAATTTGTAAGTAATTAATTTGTAAGGGGGGGGGGAGAGAATAAGTTATAAGGAATAGCCAGCATGGATTTGTCCAGAAGAAATCATGCCAAACAAATCTAATTTCCTTCTTTGACAATGACACTGGCCTAATGGATGTGGCTGGCGAGCAGTAAATATGATATAACTACAAATCAAGAAATATTTTTGACAGTCCCTTGTGACATTCTCCTAAGCAAGCAGGGGAAATACTGTCTTAATGAAATTGCTATGAGGTGTTTTTAGTTGAAACTCCGGTTGAAAGTACTCAGTTATCAGTGGTTCACTGTTAAACAAGGATACCATATGTAGAGGGGTCCCACAGAGAACAGTCCTGGGGTGATATGGATGATGGAGTAGAAAAAATTATAACATTTTCAATTGATACCAAGATGGGAGGGGCTGCAGGCACTTAGAGGACAGGATTAGAATTCAAAATGATCTTGACAAATCTGGAAAATGTGTCTGTAATCAATAAGATGAAATTCAGTAAAGATAAGTTTAAACTACTTCAGCTGGAAGGAAATATCAAGTGCAAAACTACAAAATGTTGAATAACTTTCCCAGTGGTGGTGGTACTGCAAAGTGTCTGGGGATTATAGTGAATCACAAATTGAATGAGTCAGCAATGTGATGATGCATTTGTGCAAAAGGCTAATACAATTCTGGTGTGCATTAATGGCACTGCTGCTTTGAAATGCCATGGGGAGCACAGGGCCAGCAAGGGACTGCCTGAGTCCCTCGCTGGCCCTGTGCTTCCCGCAGAGCTTTTGCTTTTGAAGTACAGCAACAGCCCTTATCACCTAATTAAAGAGTTGATGCAAATTGCAATTAGCCTATTAATCCAAATTTAACATCCCTAGTATAAGGGTAGTTAAGGTCTGGAATAGGCTTTCAAAGAAGGTTTGGATTCCCCATACTTGCAGGTTTTTAAGAAAAAAATGGACAAACATCTGTCCGGTTTAGTCTGTTTGTGGTCCTGGGCCAAGAGAGTTGGACTTGATGATTTTTTCAAACCATCCAGTGCTACATTTGTATGAGACCATGATTCTGTGCTATTAGGGAGTGAAATTCTGGTTTCACTGGAGTCGGTGGCAAAACCTGGGTCAAAAAGGCGCTTTTGTGCATTTAAAACTAGAAACTTGTTTTACTAATTTTCTCAAAGAAACAACCTATTCCTTTCTTCCTTTTTTTTCCAGTTATAGCACTTGGCATTGGTACCCACTACAATTAAAAGTTATAAAGCTGTTCCCATTTTCAAAGTTACTGAGACATTGACTTACTCAACTAATTTTTTCTCTGTATGCATCTAAAGGCCTTATGTACACACAAGTAGTACCACTTTAAGTGTGTACGAGTACAGTTAACATGGGGCAACCCCCCCTTGCATGGATGCCGTGATAGCAATAGAAAGATGCTTATGCTGGTATAGCTTATTCCAGTAGGGAGGGGAAGAAGTAAGGTACCATTATACTGATTTAAGAGTGTCCATACTAGGGCTAGTACAGATATAACTATTTCAGTTTAAAAATAAAAATAAAAAAATAGAAAGCTCATACCCCTAAACAATGTATTTATATTGAAACCATATATATCTTTGTAGATATACATTTAGTTAGACTAAAGTTAGTCTAAAGTTAGTTTCTGAAGTTTGAACAAAATCCCTTCACCTTTTATACATGATGGAAACTGAGGAAAATAAATACTTTTATCATTGTAGTGCCAGCTCACTATTGTATTAAACTGAATTACAGGCAGTCCCTGGGTTACGTACAAGATAGGGACTGTAGGTTTGTTCTTAAGTTGAATCTGTATGTAAGTCGGAACTGGCGTCCAGATTCAGCCGCTGCTGAAACTGACCGCCAGTTCTGACTTACATACAGATTCAACTTAAGAACCCCAAGCTTCCCCAAGTCAGCTGCTGCTGAAACTGATCAGCGCTGATTCCAGGAAGCGGCTGAATCAGGACGCCTGGGGCAGAGCAGCTGGGGTGCTGCAGGGTTGGTCCAGTAGTGCCCGGAGCGGGTGCTGCAGGACCAATCCGCAGCGCCCCAGCTGCTCTGCTCCAGGGTCCAAAACAAAAGCCTGGTCTGCTGGGGGGGGGCACACGATCCGCGCCCCCCTCCCCCAGCAGACCAGGGACACGGTGAGCAGAGCAGCAGCGGCAGTGGGGTGCCGCGCCTCTGAGGCTTTGCTCTGGCAAAGCCTCAGAAGCGAGGGAACCCGCCCAGTGCCCCTGGTCTGCTGGAGACGGTCTCCAGCAGACCAGGGGCACCGGAGCAGCTTACAAACGGGGCTTTCTCGCCCCGGAGCTCGCAGGTAGCAATCCGCTACCTCGACCTCCAGGGCGAGAGAGCCCCGTTCGTAAGTGCGGATCCGACATAAGTCGGATCCGCGTAAGTCGGGGACTGCCTGTACCTTAAATATAAACAAGTATGTGTTCATTGGTCATCAGAGATTTTTAGTATACTTTAATGAGGCTGGACTTTTTGTGACATTACCGTATATTTTCCCCAGTCAACTTGACAGCCATGGAAGTTGCTGTTCCCATAACCTAGTTGAGTCAATATGCATTTGCAACTTTTTCCATGAGATTGTACCAAATATTAAAAAACACAAATGATTGTTGACTCGCCTAATCAATGCATTATACAAAAAATATGCAAAATTATCTCAAGTCCCTGTCCTGGCCTCTGTACTGCAGAGAATGTGTGTATTTTAAGCACTGTTCATAAAACAGCGCACGCACAAAAAATATTTACAGTATTGGGCCCTTGAAAGCAAATGATCTATGATTGACATGATGCATCAGGTGTCATACACAGACAAAATAGGTTGATGTAAGGAATGAGTTAATAGTAAAGACAGGATGATTTGCACAAATTCCAAGAATATAACAGTTGCCTTAGGCTGCACCTGAACGATGTCGTTTGTAAGCACCATAGTCTC